AGCTGCCATCGCTTAGGAGAGCTGCAGACCCCTCTCTACCAGTAGCCTTATTTGAGGTTGCGAACTGCAGAAAGCACCCTGGGGGCAGTGGGATTCCCCTTCTCTGTACCCAAAGCAGCCCTTGGCAGCTGGATGAAAGCACTACATGCTGCCCCATTGGAGGATCTGGCATAGTTTGGGGTTGGTTTGAGGTTGCACCTCCCCTCCCAAACATACACACACACACTCTGCATCAACTGTGAGTGGCACGGCAACCTGTCCCAAGCTGCCTGCCTGCCCTGCAACCTGACCCTTGGGAGGGAGGGTGGCAGGATCAGGCTCCTTTCAGACTCAGGGACAGGAGAGAGACAGATCAGCTGAGCAGTGAAAGGCAGACGTGGTAGGGATCCTTGCTGCCACGTCACCCTGGCCATCCCCATGGAGTGGTCAGACAAGTTCCCAGCCGCTGCCTCCCACCAGCTCTCATGTGTTTAACGTGTAGTGGAGCTCCAGTGGTTCGCAGGTTGGGGAGCATAGTAGGTCCCTGCCCCAGCCTCTGTCCATGCCCTTGCTCTGATCGGCAAGGGCCCCTGAGCCCAGGTCCTGTGGGCCCGTGCGTTAATCTGCCCCTGATCAGGGCTTTGTCTAGCCAGGTCTTAAAAACCTTCAAGGATGGAGATTCCAAAACTTCTCTGGGTAACCTGTTCCAGTGCTTTACTACCCTCCTTGCAAGAAAAGTTTTTCCTAATATCTAACCTCAACTTCCCTTGCTATAACTTGAGACTGTTGCTCCTTGTCCTGTCATCTGCCACCACTGAGAACAGTCCAGCTCCATCCTCTTTGGACTCCTCCTGCAGGTAGTTGAAGATTGCTATCAACACCCCCTCCCCGCTTCTCTTCTCCGGGGGCACCCCCTTTGCGGACCCCTGGGGCCGGCGTGGCTGGGGCTCCTGGAAAAAAACGTCGGCATTAACCGGGGAGGAGGCGGAGCCGGGCTCTCTTCCTCTTCCTCCTGGCTGGGGCTGGGGCTGGAAGGGCGCTTCCAAATACACTTTCGCTTTTGGAGCTGAGAGGCTGCGGCACGGCGGCATGGGGTTGATGCTGATGGTGCTGGCGCTGTGCGCCCCGGCGGGTAAGGCCGGCGCCCCCTTCCCCTTCCCCGGCTCCGCGCCAGCCGTTGGGGACCGAGGGGCTGTCCAGCGGCAGGGCCTGGGCGGGAGCGCGGTGTGGCCGGACATGGTTTCTTGGCTGGGAGCGGCAGGGCAGCGCGCGCGCTGCGAGCCCGGCTCTGCCCCGCTGCACGAGGGAGGCTCGGACGGGAGAACCGGGTAGAGCTTCCTCTGCAGGCACCGTGTGCCTGGGCGGGTGTGCCCTGCTCCCTTCCCAGAGTGCTGCTGGGCGGGTGTGCCTTGCTCCTTGCCCCCTTGCCACAGCGTCTGGGTGGCCCTGCTCCCTGCCTGCTTCTGCAGCCCCTCTTTTAACGTGTGACCCCCGCTCCCCTCCCTGTACCTCAGGTTTCTAGCTGCTCTGCCCCTACGCTCTTCCCTTTTTAAGGGAGGCTTGTCGGTTCTTTGGTCGCCTTGGCACATCAGACACAGGCATGGGCGAACTGGGCCCAAAATGGTATTATCATTCCCTTTGGCGAAGGGGGGCCCGATACTAAAAGGCCCCCAGGAGTCTAGGTAGGGTGCTGGCAATAGGCCTGTGTCACCCAGTGGCCCAGAGCGGATGCTGAAAGGGAGAGCCAACTGGGGAACCCGCTCAAGAAAAGGAGCTGTTTGGACGTCTGTCTGGGCTGGTTTCGCTTTGGTGTGATGGAGTATGAAGTGGGAAAGAAGCTGGCTGTATGCCCAGAATGCCAGGGTGGGGCTGCCCCGCTGGCAGTGCTTCATGTGAGGTGTGACCCAAGCACGTTGGGTCGGAAGTCCCAGAGAGGCAGTGGGGTCCTCTGGATGTTGCTTTTGAGAAGGGGCTAAGGCTTTTTCAGTCTCTGCGCAGGATTGTAAGTTTTTGGGCTGTGGCTGCCAGAAGAGGTACCTTGAAAGGCACATAGAAATGTCACAGGCCATGTTGTTACCATACAGTGGATAAATGATTAGAGTGGTGGTTATTCAAATCAGAGTGGGGGCTTTACATTTTGTTTATCTGCCCACAGTTGTGGGGAGGAAACTCGGAAGAAAAAAGGAGGAGAAATTCAGTGCGTTTTTGACATTCCTTAATTGCACTAGAACAGAAAATGCTCAGTATGGTGCTGTCATTTCTGCCTGATTGGTGTCAGTACTTACAACATTTCAAAGATGTGGCATGGCTTCTTTTAGAAGTTCTCTATGCAGCAGAGTTGCTGTGAAATGAAATGAGATGTAATATACCTTTACAGTACACTAAGAATCCTATATACCTGCCTTTCAAAAGGGAATAATATATATCATACTTATTGTACAATAGGCATGTTCGCCTAGGAAGTATAGAAAAAAAAGTGCTCTGTAAATTCATGCCCTGTCTTGCAATACCATGAACTTTTCCATGCTGATAGGGCCTTATGAATAGATAATATTTGTTAACAGCTGCCTGCAAGTGGCTGATAAACTGTAACTCGTGGCTTCCCTGGCAGAGGCTTGGTGGCTTTGTTTAGGTGTGGTTGTCAATAAAATGGTGAATGCATTATATTTTTGGTTCTGCTTTTCAGAGACAATGCATAAGGGACCTGTCATGTTTAGTGACCTGAGTGTCAAATATGACATTTGGGTAAGGGATAAAATTATTCATCATACTGCTCCTGAGGTACAAGATAAAAACTTTAAAAGAAGTCTCAGAATAAGGAATCTGAATGGCAGTTGGGGGGGAGGTCAGGTTCCACTAATATAGGTTCCACTTTCTATATTATTGGTATTAAAAGTATCTGCTGAAAGTTAGCTGTTGGTGCATGATTCCCCAGGTAAAATGAAAAAGGGTCAGAGCATTTTAGCCAGTTTGACCAAACTGGATGCTTTGAAACAGGAATTCTGCTTGATTTTGTTTAGTGATTTATTTCTTATAGCATAAGAGAATTGCACATAGCTTTTTGTGTTCTTTGGGAGTTTCCTGGGTGTATAAAACAGGATGTTTAACATCCCCTTTTTTTTAAAGGGCAGTCTCCCTCTCTTTATCCTCTAGGCCTGTAAATTGCTGTAAACTGTATGAAAAAACTTCTAAGGGCTCCCAGAGCCTTTGGATAGTAGCTTTTTATAACCACTCCTCTTTAGCTGAGCTTGTGTAGGGTGCCATGTAAGGCAACGGAGCCTGGCACATGCACTACAATCCACTTCTGGCTCAGAGTCTTGGTCTCTGGACTCTAGGTCTGTTCATCTGAGCTTCTGCAATGTTTTGAGCAGTGATGCAGGTCTAAACACATGTCAATGTTGTAAATTTTTTTAAGATAACTCACTAGCCCTCTAGGTGCATGCTATTATTTAAAATACATTTCTGCAGCACTTGCAGGCTGAACATCTTGGGGTCTGTTGTGCGATGTGGCATAAAAATGTACAGCAGATAAGATCCCTTACCCCCCAAGAGCAAGGGTGAGGTGAACAAGCAGATGACTGTGGTAATAGCAGAGGTAGCTGAACAAGTTATATAGCCCAATCTGTAGTCACAGATTTCAGTATGTATTTTTTTTAACAGAATGGTGAGTTTATTATGCCTGCATGAGAAAACTAAAGTACAGAGGGGTGAAGTAACTTGAACAAGTACAGGTGACAAGGCAGTGGCAGAAGTAGGGTTAGCATCTCAGCTCTCTGGTTCCTAGGCTCCTGTCTGCTTTCTTAGGGCAGGCTTACCACTATACCTAGAATCACAGGAAATCCTCAAGGCAGGATCGTTCCTATCTAAACTACCTTAGACAAGTGACTGTCTAACCTGTTATTAAAAACTTCCAAGGATGGAGATTCCACAGCCTGTCTAGGTAGCCTGTTACACTGCTCGACCAACCTTATTGTGAGAAAATTCTTCCTATCATCCAACCTAAATTTTTCTCACTGCATTTTAGGGGTCACTTCTCCTGTCCCCTATGGCCATACAGAATAGTCTGCTATAGGGGTCAGCAACATATGGTCCATGGTCTGTGGAGCCATTGGATATGGCCTATGATTTAGTATGGCCTTGCTTGAACAACAGCCTGGTGGTGGGGAGAAGTGGAACAGTTGGGTTGGCAGCATTGGGCTGCTTCAGACCAGAGCCAGGTTGATCCAGCCTACCTATGTAAAACCTTGTTGACTGCTGGTTGATCACTGTCCTCTTTATAATAACTACCCGTCAGGTATTTGAAGACCGATAGCAAATCCTTCCTTAATCTCCCCTTTCCCAGGCTGTATAATCTTAGTTCTTTAAATTTCCTTCATATATTATGTTTCACAGACTTCTAATCACCTCTGTTGATCTCCACCAGACTCTTCCTAACTTCTCTATGTCTTTGTTGAAGTGCAATGCCTGAAACTGGACAAAGTACTCCAGATGAGACCTTACCAGTGTCCAGTAGAGTAGCAGAATCACTTCCCTTGACTTGCACATAACACTTCTATCAATTTAGCCCAAAATGCTATTGGCTTTTTTTTTTTTTGCAACCAGAGTATACGCACTGTTGGTATATACTCGGTTTGTAGTCCTCTTTGCCTCCAACATCCTTTCCTGCAAACTTTTGAATACAAGTATAGAGATGCAAATTGTAAAATCATGTTGCGGCCACTCTGATAAACATATAGGGCTTTGTCAGGGCTAACTGGTTATTCAAAATGCATGTTAAATAAAGCTTGATTCAGGTTTGTAAATAGGATATCTCAGACTCTGCTTTTAAATAACTGTCATTCACACAGTGAGAAATCAAAAGAATAAATCAGTATGGGAGCTGATGAATAAAAATATAATTCTATACATAGCAGTTCAGGAAATCAGGGAGGATGTGGTCTTTAGCAAAAGCCCGTGACTTCCCAGAGAGGTTGATCTTGAGGCTGACATGTTAGAACTACAGCACCTTGCCCATGCTAAGATTTGAGTGTTTATGAGCTAAGGTGTTAAAAAATGGCACTGAGGTAGTAAAATGAGTTAGCCCGAATCAGGCAGAAGGTAGGGAATTTAACAACTGAACCAGTTGGTCTCTAAAGGTGTGGACATGTGTATACCTGGAGCCCTTTCAGAAGGGCAGCAGCTGGTATGTTTTAATTGTTATGTTTGAACAAGCTGAGGATTCAAATGCAGCAAAAGCTTTAGCTTCTCAAAGGGCTCCAAATACACATGCCCACATCCTAAGGGACCACCCAGGCCTATTCTGAGTGCATCCCAGGGAAGACAGGTCCCAAGAGTGGACATCTGGAGATGAATAACATTCCTACCTCTGCCAGGGGTGACTTCATAGACCCTGACTTCTTATCACTTCTTTGAGTTTTAATCCCGACCAACTGTAAAATGGGGCAAATCCTAGTTTACTCCACGGGGCAGGTAGAGCATGAACAGAGCTGAGGATTGAAGGTAGAAGCAATAATGATTACAGATGACATTGGCAGTGAACACAGTGGGCTGACGGCCAAGCTGATATTGCTCTAGTTGTGATGAGTATACACATGGTAGGAGCATTCAGTAGAGGGGGAGCGATACATTGGTCCATATTGGATACATGCTGATAAAACAGTGTTCCTAAACGAGGGGCAAGGCAAGTCTCACAATGGGCTTGTAGAGAGGCAACAGAAGGGCGCCAGACTACCAAGCGTTGACCCTGAGATGTTGCAGAGTCACTTGGAAGGACTGGATGTGTTTAAGTCAGTAGGCCCGGATGAGCTCCATCCGAGGATACTGAAGGCACTGGCTGATGTCATTGCACAGCCACTAGCGAGAATATTTGAACACTCGTGGTGCACGGGCCAGGTCCCGGAGGACTGGAAAAGGGCCAATGTCGTCCCTGTTTTCAAGAAGGGGAGGAAGGAGGATCCAGGCAACTATGAGCCAGTCAGTTTCACCTCTATCCTTGGCAAAGTCTTTGAAAAGATTATTAAGGTTCATATATGTGAGAGCCCAGCAGGAAAAATTATGCTGAGGGGAAACCAGCACGGGTTCGTAGCAGGTAGATCATGCCTGACTAATCTAGTCTCTTTTTTATGGCCAGGT